TCAGGAAACCCAAGGAGGGGTCACTATGAGTAGGAAATGACCTGACAGCACTGACGGCACTGATTTTGTGTTTGTTTTTTGTTCTGCTTTGTTTTGTTTTAAAAGGATTCAAGGAGATTTCTCAAACTTATTTGACTATGAAATTCTTTTGTTAAGGGGTATTTCAAAAGATCACCGTGGAGCAGAGCAAGCTTTGGGAAATCCTGGCTTAAAACACCTTGATACAGAGAACAGAGGCAGAAGAATGGCTGAACTAAATGAATTAAATAGTCACCCTCAAAGAATGAGCCAATTATCTCAAAGAAGTCCTCAACCAAAAAGCCTGAGGGCCACTCCAGATGTAAGTTGCTTAATTATAAAAAGAGAATTGCACAGGTAAAAAGGAACAAGAAATAACATGTATTGAGCATTTGGTATATAACCAGTACCAGTGGGTGTACGTCTTATTGAACCACCCTAGAAGGAAGTATCATGATCAAATAATTATTGTACAGTTGCTAAAACTGATAAAACTAAGCCCCGCAGAAGCTGATTAATTTTCAAGGCCACAGAACAATGTCACAGTACAAGAATATAAAGTCAGTTCTAATCCCAAAACTCAAGTTTTTTCACACTGTCATCATGCTGCCCTCCACTGAGATCATTACTGGATCCACTGAGATTTTGGGAACCCCAAAATCAATTACTCAGAAATAAACTTTAAAATTTCAAACAAAACTATCCTATAAAGCCATAGTGAAACTAAATAGCTTAGCCCAATTAAAGGATATTTTCCTTGAGCACCACACTCTTATAAGGAATTATGTATATGAGTGCAAATTGACAACAGTTCTTCTAAAGCACAGATTGAAACTTTAAGAGGCCAAGAGCCTAAATGAATGATAATGAAAAAATATGGAGAGATAGTAAGAATGGAGACATAATGTGAACCAATGCCACTAAACTGTACATGTAGAAATTATTATGAATGGATGTATATGTGGTTGTGTATATTGCCACCAAAAAGAAATCAAGTAAGAAAAATTACCAAATCTGAGGCATAATATAATATCATGCCCAGTTCCCTGACTATAATATGGGAAAAGATCATCTACACAGGGAAAAGGTTTTGTAAAATAGCTGAGTATGACCTTCAAGTCCTTTCTCCTAAGTAATCTCAAAGAAGTAACTACTTTTCCCTGAGAAAATTAGTCTTATTTCAAGTCTTAGTATGGCAGGTCTGAACTATGAACTTGCTGACTAGCATATGCAAAAGATTTCTCAGGTAAGTTAGAAACTGTAAAAGTAAGATGGTGCCTTTTCAAAAATGAAGGTGGTAACAAAATTATCCAAATTGAGGAAATGAACCAAAGGATGCTGAGTTTTATGAACTGATCACAAAGCTCAAGAAACACTTGGCAGACTCTGCTAAATGAAGGGCATACTCGGACAAATTTAAAGAAAAAATGTCACTGTGGTTATATTGTAAATGACATGAAATAGTGAAGTCATGGAAAATGTTTGACCTGACTGCACTCTCCCACTGGAGACTTGAACAAAAAAGTCAGCCAAGTGTTTTGAGATTGCAGATAAAGTGTATAAAGAAAATGCACTAGGAGTTGATTCATTCAAGCCATGAATAAATCTTTTCTTTTGAATTATAAAGGGAATATGTATGTAAATTGCTACACATTTTGAAGAACTGGTCCCTGGGCCAAGTCCCATGCTATTTCCATTGTGGAGCTCTCAACAGTTGCTGGTTGCAAAGATGTATGAGATTAAAAACTCCAGGCTCCCCCATTCACCAGCCTTGGAACTTTTGGTTAAAATAGTCAATCTCCCTCTCAAATTATTTCAGGGGGAAAAGTATCCATTTTGTGGGGGAAGGTAAAATAATTAAGCAACTTCCCTATACATCCACGGACAAAGACAAAACAGAAGGCTCATTTTTGGTTCTTAGTTTATTGACTTGTGTTTCTTCTTTAAACTCTGAAAGCATTCCCTATGCTAAGTGAAGTAAGTCAATCACAAAAGGACAAATATTGCGTGATTTCACTTACATGAAATACCTACAACAGGCAAATGTATAAAGACCAGAGTTTCCAGTGGTTAACAGCAGCTGAAGAGAGAGGGCAAAGGGTTATTTAGGAAGTACTGAGTTTCTGTTCATGATGATGCAATATTTGTCAACAGAAAGTGGTGATGCTTACACAACATGTTAATGCAATTAGTTTCACCAAATCATATATGTGAAAAATCTTAAATTGGAAAATGCTGTTTTATATATATATATATATATATATATATATATGTTGTTGTTGTTATGTGCTGTCGAGTCAGACCAGACTCATAACAACCCCTCCTTGGGTTTCCGAGGCAGTATCACTATGGAAGTAGATTGCTCAACCTTCCTTCCAAGGAGTGGCTGGTGGGTTTGAACCGCCAGCTTTCTGGTTAGCAGTCAAGTGCCTTAGGCACTACGCTACCAGAGCTCCCTAAATAAATTTACAACAGTGGGGAAAAAAAAAACACCTAAATATGATACATACCAATTTCTGTATATGGTGACAGAATGACTCATTTTTTCCCAAGTGTTTTAAACTTGAAATCCTTCTTATTATAGAAAGGCATGTGACGTATACCAGAGAAAGAAAATCTAACAGGCCATGAATGCTATTGACAGAAATCACATATTAAAAAGTGTGAATCAAAATAGCAGTTCTATCACCCATTATCTCCCATTAATCCTATGACAAGAAATGTGACTTTGTTACTTTTTGTCATAAAATAGGTATAAATACTATTCAGTGAGTACTTTTTGCTTTGTTTGTTTTATGAAGTGCATCTGTTCCACCTAGTTGCTGTTGCTACCAATCTAAGTGGTTTTTGGTTTGGTTTGGTTTGGTTTTTCAGCATCAGAACAAGTGTTAAATAAAGCACAGAGGAGTCAGGCAGGTGAAATGGCTCAGAGAGGGGACAGTGGCAAACTGGAGAACAAAGGCTCTGGTTGAAGTGGACACTTGTAACTCAATCTTAGCAGCTCGAAATCATAGGGAAACAAGACCATTTTTGCCAGACTTTCTAGATTTTTAGAAGGAATTAGAAACCACTATTTTTTATATAGAAATATCTACATGCTAAAGTTTTCACTTCTAATTCAGTTTTTAAAATGCTGTGTTTGTCAAACAAAATACTTTTGCTGGACAAGGTAAGAGATGCTAGTGTCATATTGTGCGTTATCAGTCTAGGATAGATTCAAACTAGGGTTAACTGTACAAACTGGGTAAATTGGGTACAACTCCCCCTTTTCACATGGCAAGAGTTTCGGCATTTAGGTATCAATCATAGATATGGGGCAAAGTGCCCCCCCCCCCACACACACGTTTTTAAAGTGTACTGGTAGCATCAAAAAAGCAGATAATTCATTAGAGCACATCATTTTTAGAGACACTTAAGGTTAAAAATAATAATAATAATAAGGCATAATTAAGCACACTTTCATCTTTACTAATGCCAGTCATACCTCAGTTTAACCCATATTCTAAATGTGATCTATTTCCTCTTTGCTTTTTCAATCCCAAACTTTTCCTAGTTTGAGATGTAGGATCATAGGGTTTTTGTGGCGATGACACAGATATCGTGGGTAATATTCCTAAAACAATATCTAGCACATAGTAAGAACTCAAAAACTGTTAGCTCCTACTGTTGCTGTGAATATTATTTAGCTGTCAAAGCCCTCACAGGGCTTGTCTACAACTTGGAGAAGGCTATGGCTAAGTCTTACAACTTAGCTGTTACATAAAACTGCTTACAGAATCACTTCTGTAACTACCTTCTTTAGCAGTCAGCTTCATAAATTACTCCCCATCAGTTCAGGCCCTCTGAGACAGCTGAGAATCTTTTGTACATCAGAACAAAGACAAATAAAGCGAGGCTTCTGTAGGGCATTTAGCAACAAATGAGGCAAAGGGCCTCCACTTCTCTTTTTCCCCCGAGGAGACACGAAGTACTTTCCCACTTTTTTGTTTCTTCTTCAGATGGACTCATTCCCTCTTTCTAACTACTTAAACCCAACTGGGTGGGTGTGACTTGATCCCAGACAAAATATTACGCTACTTGCAATGACTTCATGTATAATCCAACACACTGAGCATCTCTAAGATTCCACAGGTCCTCCTGGAAGTTAAACTTTTCAGTTAAAAGGGAGGGGGGAAGTAGAATAATTGATCCACAAATTCATTAAATCAGCAAGGAAGAAGGCAGCACTCAACAAGCAAAATTTACTTAAATTTTGCTATTATCCTTTCCTGAAGTATGAGGTCACCCCTACTATTAATAAACTAGATTCAGTGCCTGGTTCAATAATTAGGTTTATTTGAAGTTAAGCTCTGAAGTTCCTGTCACGGGCACTGCAAGCAAATGCCAAATACAAGGGAGTAACAATTAGATGGCAGGCCAAGGGAATGACCCTTCAGTCTTTCTGGGCTTCACAAAAGAAAGTCCAGTAGGCAATTTCCAGGTACTCTCTGGGGATACTGAATGGCTCAGCACAAGCTGTCCTCTTAACGGGATCCCTCTTTAAGGGTCTCAATCTGTGTGGCATTAAATTATAGGGATGTGCTAACAGACATGCAGGCAGGAACAGGAGCAAGCTGAATAAATAATTTACACTGTACATAGGAAAAACAACTTTAAAACTATTTCATACCAACAGCAAAGTCCAAGTATTCTATTTCCTTATCCTCTTATCTGTTTTTAAAATAAAACAATTGTTTCCCCAATCAAATCATTTTCCCGTCAAATCAACTGCATTTGTGGAATTTTTCAAAACTAAGAATTGAAATCTAATAAAAATAAAGTCCACAGTTTAAACCCCCAGCACACATTTGGTGCCCACGGGCAAGTGTCAGCTGCAGACACCACCCAGTTAAAATCTACAAAAGGACTATATTCATTTCAGCACAAGAGAAAAAGAACTATCAGTCTCACATAACCAGTTCAGAAGAATCAAAGAGATATACCTGCAAGTTTTCAATTTCTTCTTTGTGTTCCCTCTTCAAGTGTAAAATAGCAGCTTGATACTCTGTAAGAGCACAAAAGAAGCCAATTACAAAGAAGTACAAAATTGTGCACAAAACTCAAATAAGCTCAAAGGTCCCACAGGCCCTCCTACAAGTAAACTGAGTAAATAAATGCCACAATCAGACATTTGCCAGACCAAAGATATTGAAAACTGGGGCAAGTGGTTCAAAAGAAGTGAGTTTTCCTTCCTTTTAGCAAATTCTGAATTATGAGATGCTCAAATTAAGTAGACAGGAGAGGGTTAAAAAAAGAGAAAGGAAGAAAAGCATGATGGGTGTTCCAGATAAAGACTGGATCACATGTTTGTCTTCAAGCAGGAGATGGAAGATAGGGCCCCAGAGAGAACAAATAGAGATGTGTGAAGAGCAGACACACAGGAAATAAAACTTTCTATGTGAGATCACAGTACTCTATATTTAACTCTGCTTCCAAAAATAAATAAATAAAATCCCCATTTGAATGCAAGGCTAAGCAAGCACCCAGGGTGATTTTAATCTTTAGAACACCTCATAAAGTCAATACCATTTGTCATTTTGCTGAGAGAATCTAGGGTTAGGTAAAGCTGAATGGAGGACAAAAATAAATTTCTGGTCCAATTTTAGTCTGAGTCTGATAATGTTTATTCCCATGTAAGTCCCAAGTGTACACAAGAACTCCAGCCAACCACTAAATCTCTCATCCCACATGTTAAGCATGAAGTAGCCAAGACAACTTTATTTCCATTAGGACAGCTAAGGATGATGGGGTCAGAGAACTATCCAGGCTGCAGAGAACCACAAAGCAAAACACTATCAATACACATTTTTATGGGATAAGCCAGTTTTCCACAAATACGTATGGCATGGTATTAGTAAGAAGTCAGTTACACTTCATTTAAAAATGTGTGAAAAGAGGTTATTTCTCCAAGTGGATTTCAGATATCAGGCATGAATGTTTAGGTTCCAGTTCACCAGTGGATGAGGGAAATCTTTGGTAAAGCCATACAAGAAAGGAGTGTTGCTGCTCATAATTATGACTAGCCCCACAACCACTTCTGTGGGGAATGTACATCACTAAGCCATCAGCAAGTTCTGTGGGCTGTAGCTCTGGTGGCACAGTGGTTAAGGCATTTGGCTCCTAACCAAAACGTCAGTGATTTGAACCCACCAGCTGCTCCATGGGACAATGATGAGGCAGTCTGCTTCTGTAAAGATTTATAGCCTTGGAAATTCTATGAGGCAGTTCTACTCTCTCCTATAGGATCACTATGAATTGGAATTTGACTCAACAGCAATGGGTTTGGTTTGGTTTTACATCCAAACTATATCTTGATTCACATCACTTCTTACCATATCCACTGCCACCATTATAAATCCAAGACATTATCACCTTTCCTGTGGACTACTGTAAAAAAATAAACAAACAAATCCACTGCTGTTGACTCATTTCTGACTCATAGCAATTCCATAGGACAGAGTAGAATTGCCTCATAGGGTTTTCAAGGCTGTAAATTTTTATAGTAGACTTCCTTATCTTTCTCTCACAAATGGCTGGTGGGTTCAAACCATCGATCTTTTATTAGCAGCTGAATGTTTCTACCACTGCACCACCAAAGCTCCTTAGAGAACATCAAAAGTAACTCTAAAAAGAGGACATACAAACAAAAGATAAATGTTTTTAAATATTCTAAAGTCTAACAGTGCTATGTGCTGGTGAATATGTGGAGCAACAAGAATTCTCTCACTTTGATGATAGATGTGAAACTGGTACAATCACTATAGAAAACTCTGGCATTTACTAATAAGGTTGAAAATACCCAGACCCTCCTGCCCACCAATCCTAATCTTATAACACATAAATGAGAAAGCTCTAAAGGAAAGCAAGTAATAACACTAATATAGTCAGGAGAGTAATGATCTCCAGTGAAGGCATTCATTGGTAGTGATCAAGCAAGGTGTTTTTACATGGGTGTTCAATGAAAAATTAGTCTTTAATCTATGTATATCTTATGCAACTTTATTTATGTCTAACACTAAAATAAGAAAAAGATATCTTTAATATAATAGTTCTCTCTTATATCTAATAAAATTTTAGAAGTATAAGAGAGTGTTTGAATTCATAAAATAATCAGCATAAAACAATTTATTAGTTTGAACTTTGTATAAATGCTGAGTCTTAACCCAAGTAGTGATGAATATCTAAACTCTAATTTCATACACAGAGTCACTGTACCAAAAAGAACTGGTCAACATTCAAACATTTCAGGAGGTAGCATATGATCAAGAACCAATGGTACTGAAAGAAGTCCTAGCTGCACCGAAGGCACTGGTGAAAAACAAGGCTCCAGGATTTGACAGAATACCAAAAGAGATGTTTCATCAAAGAGATGCAGTGCTGGAGGTAATCACTGGTCTGTGCTAAGGAATTTGGAAGACAGCTACCTGGCCAACTGACATAAAAGGTCCATATTCATGACCATTCCAATGAAAAGTGATCCAACAAAATGCAGAATTGATGGAACATTAATATCACAAACAAGTAAGATTTTACTAAAGATAGTTAAAAAGTGTTTGCAGCAGTACACTAAAGGAAAAAAAAGAAAAAAACAAAATCACTGCCATCAAGTTGATTCCCACTCATAGTGACCCCCTATTGGTTTCCGAGGTGCATCTTTACAGAAGTAGATTGCCCAGTCTTCCTTCTATGGAGTGGCTTGTGGGTTTGAACTGCCAACCCTTCTGGTTAGCAGTCAAATGCCTAGGCACTATACCACCAGAGCTCTTTGCAGCGGTATACTGACAGCCTATTGCCAGAAATTCAAGCCAGATGCAGAAGAGGACATGGAATGACGGATATTATTACTGATGTAGGATGGATGTTGGCTGAAAGAAGAGAATACCACCAAGATGTTTCTCTGTGTTTTATTGATTATGCAAAGATATTTGAATATGTATATCAATTATGTATAATATTTCAAAGAATGTGAGTTCCAGGACACTTCACTTTGCTCATGAGGAACTTGTACATAGACCAAGAGGTAGTCGCTCAAATAGAACAAGGGGATACTGCATGGTTTAAAATCAGGAAAGGTATGCATCAAGGGTTGTATCTTTCCACCACACTTAGTCAATCTGTATGCCCAGCAAATAATCTGACAAGTTAGACTATATGAAGAAGAACACAACATCAGAATTGGAGGAAGAATCATTAACAACCTGCAATATGCAGATGACATAACCTTGCTTACTAAAAATGAAGAGGACGTGAAGCGCTTACTGATGAAGATCAAAGACTATAGCCTTTGGTATGGATTACATCTCAAGAAGAAGAAAATAAAAATATTCACAACTGGACTAATAAGCAAACCATGATAAACAGAGAAGACAGTGAAGTTGTCAAGGATTTAATTTTACTTGGAACCACAATCAATATCCATAGAAGGAGCAATCAAGAAATGACAGGTCATGTTGCATTGGGCAAATATGATGCAAAAGGCTTCCTTAATATGTTAAGAAGCAAAGATGTCACCGTGAACTAAGGTGTGCCTGACCCAAGCCATGGTATTTTCCCATCACATCTTGTGCATGTGAAAGTTGGACAATGAATAAGGACGATCAAAGGAAGAAATGGTGCCTTTGAATTGTGGTGCTGGTGAAAAATATTGAGTATTTTCCATGGACTGCCAGAAGAATGAACAAATTTGTCTTGAAAGAAGTATAGCCAGAATGCTCCTTAGATGCAAGGATGATGAGACTATGTCTCATATACCATCATCAACTTATCAGAAGGGACCAATCCCTGGAGGAGGATATCATCCTTGGTAAAGTAGAGGGTCAACGAAATAAAAGACTTAATGAAATGGATAGATACAGTGGCTGGAACAATGGACTCAGAACACAGCAACGATTTCGGGGATGACACACAACTTGGCAGTGTTATGTTCTATTGTATACAGGTCATTATAAGTTGGAACTGACTCAATAACACTTAACAACAACAATCAATTCTATGACTGTAATAAGTAGTCAAAGGAAGATTAATTTGTTAAACCACTATTGTTCACTAAACTGAACCTTGAGGATAATATTCACATTATAAATAGAAATTACACAGAATCTATTGTGAAATGACTCATTTTGTGTAAATTATACATTTAAGGGTGTGACAGATACAGTTATGACTAATTCATGAGCAAATCGATTATTACAAAATTAACACCCAACAAAGTATGATTAATCTCCTCCTTGAATAAACACTTTTGCCAACAGTGCTGGTGTGACAGGTGGCAGGAAAACACACTGCCATTCCTGACAAACAGAATCTCCAGGCAGCATGCAGAAGGAGGAAGTTAATGCGCTCACTAATGGAATACTTACTTCCTCACTTTGAGGGTCCATAATCAAACAGTAAAAGGTACACAATAAAACAGTATAAAGGTTATAGAATGATGTCCATTAGTCAAGGTTAAGTTGGTAGTTCTCAAATGTACTTGTTTATGGTTGTTTCTTCTCCCACATTTTTTAGGTTTGCAAACCTCTTAAAGTGGTACAAGGCAAGTCCTCACCAACTCATAGGGCTGACCATGGAGACACAGAGGTGTTAATTCTAGGCCAGTGATGTTTGTATTTGTTGAAAAATATAAATTGGTCCTGGTATTCACTAGCTCTGGTATCCTGTAAATGTATAAGCCGGGGG